TCCGCCCCCAAAGCCGGGCTGGAAGCCAGACCGGTGTCGTGACGTGGGAAGGGCTGGTGACCCCCGAGCCAAAGCCCCGGAGGCCTCGTGGGGGGGGAGCCGGGCGGGGCAGCCTGGCCGGGAACGACCCCGGGATTCCTGGGGCCACGGCGGGCTCTGAACCCCGCTCGGTCAGCCCCACGGGGCCCCACGCGTGTCTGCGTGTCCTGGGGCGAATGAGCACGCAATCTGATGGGGAGGCTGGCTGCCCGGAACGGCCGGCCCTTCGCCGTCTCCAGGGAGGGCAGGCAGGACCCGCCCAAGAAAAGTGGCCCAAAGAGCAGCCCGGGCCGCGGGACCCGCCTAAGGGACTCCATGGAAGGGGCGTCCGGGCCAGCGATGGGCGGGGCTCCTGGCTCCCGGAGGAGGTCCGGCCAGCTCGGTGGACCCTGGCCCGTGGGTCTCCAGCTTCCCATGGAGGCCACAGTCACCTGCCGAAGGAGGGAGAGCTCCATGGGCGCCCCAGAGGCCGTGGGGACAGCACTCTGGGGCACCAGGCTCTCCGCGTCCTGTCCTTCCCCACCTGCAGGCCTCTCCTGTCCGGCCTGGTTCTGGAATCCCCAGGGCAGACCCCCGCGGAGCTGCAGTTCTGGCTTCTGCCCGAGTCACCTCGGCTTCCGCCTGGGTTCCCGTTCACAAGGGCGTGGCTGGTCACGCGAGCACACACTCCGACTTGTGTGCACACACACAGATATGTGCAAAGCGCCCCAAGCACACACAAACTCACTTGCACACAGGCGTGTGTACAGAGACTCACGTGCACACACACAGAGGCATGAATGTGCATCCACATCCACACACACAGACACGCGTGCACACATCTCAGCTCCCAGGAGCAGTGCGCCCCCGGCCAGCCTGCATGACTCAGCACTCGAGGTAGCAGCCTCTGTCGCCAGCATGCCGTGCCCCTCACTTCCCACCAGGGACTCCACAGCCCGGAGGGTGGGTAAAGCCGGCCATAGGAGGGGGGACAAGAATGCCACCTCTCATTGCTCAGGTGGGAAAACGCAGGTCTGAGTGTCCGTCCCCAGTGAGTTGTGACAGGTGTGGCCAGGGCTCTGGGTTTGCTCATCGAGGTTCCCCGTGGTTCCCAGAGACCGTGATGTGAGGGAGAGTGTTCGGTGAAATCTGTTGAAAGAGCAGGAAGGGAAATGCCCAGCCTCCCTCCCTGCGTCCCTCTGGGGCTGGGGCAGGGGTGCAGGCAGGGACAGCCGTGGCACACGCGTCTCGGGGGCCATGCCGGCCCTGGGCCTCCCCGTCCCCACTGGCTGTGACCTCCTCGCTTAGGAGGCCTTATCGGGAGGGCCCGAGCCCGCTGCCAACTGTGGAGCTGTCACTGTCGCCAGCCCTAGGACTCGGCAGGCCCCTCTGGCAGGCAAGGCCTCTGAGCTTCCCAGCGAGACTCCCGGGGACACACACCCCAGTCCAGGCCTGTCCTCATCCATTCCTGGGAAGAGGCCTCTGGATGAGGCCCCGGACCCAGCTGGGCCCCAATCCTTCCAGGGCCACGGTGGCCTCTCCTAGAGGCAGGAGGTTGAGGCCTGACTTTCCTCTTTAAAAAGTCGAGTGTCAGCCGGGCTCAGTGGCTCAGCCTGTAATCCCGCGCTTTGGGAGGCCGAGGTGAGCGGATTGCCTGAGCCCG